CATACCTATTTCCCTACATTGTCAAAATTTATTTTATTTTTTGGAAAAAAAAAGGATAAAAACGCGAATTACAAAAAATAGCATAAAAAACACGTTTCATAAGACTTAAAGCACTCATTCATTAAAAAACTCGTGGCTTCGCCACTCGTTTTTCAATTTGAATTCGTGCATTTCAACCGTGCTTACGAAACTTGTTTTTTAATATATATAATATATATATACATATATAATATATATATACATTTCGCTATCTTGTATCAAAAATAACTATTTTTTTGTTTAATTTTGTCTTTAGATTAACCTTATTTGAAAGGGTCTTTTTGCAAGACATAAAGGCAACCATCTTGTTGAAACCACATTTTTGTAGTTCGTAGATATTGACTAGCACATCTTCTAACAAAGTTAAGAGGGAATAAAAAGTAAATACAAATAACATACAAAAGCATGAATTTTTTCAATAACGTGTTTTTTGCAGAAAAACAGACAATAACATTTTTTTTTTTGACAGAAAAAATGGCAAGTGTTGTACCATTTTGGAAACTTGACTAAACAGGCCATCTTTTAAAATTACTTGCCAAGGGTGTTGTACTACTCCTTTTTTTAGAAATCGTGTGTCAAACTTGATAGACATAAATTCTTTCAACCTTAACTCAAACAAATCTCAATCAAAGTAATTTTCTTCTTGCAAAACCAACGACTTTTGTTGTTTGATTTGTAACTTCTACAGTAGCATGGTTCACAAGGAATAGATTATTAAAAAAATCACTATTAAATTGCGAACATTTCTGACCGTAATACCTAAAGATATGATGTACGGGACCGATTTTAACATTTTCAAAAGTATGTCTATTACCACTTAACTAAGAGACAGAATTTTTTTCTCATTTTTACCAGAACAGGTATGGGTTGGCCTCTCACCCGGTGCCCGCTTGACGTTGAGTTTCGGGACACCTGTATACAGCTGCCTAGTATGCTGCCTGTATACACCTGTATACAGCTACTAAGTGCTTGGAAATCACAATACTACTGAGGACTATTTATTGAAACTATTCTTCTGTCGAGTGATATCTTTTTGTGTCCCTTCAATTACAGATTTAAAAATTGCTGCTACAACACTCGATTCTTTATCCCCCAGATGCAACATATCTTTTTAAAGAAATTTACTGATTTATTTCAGAATTTAGTGTAGAAATTCCACTTTGAATTAGGTTAATTATAAACCAGTGAGAATTTCTCAAATGTAGGGTTGGGCATGGAGCAGAGGGTGGGTTGGAAATTCCAGGTTGGGTTAAACCCTATGCTTTCTAATTCTAGCTCTAGTGTTAGCTCTAGTTTTACACTATCACTACAACTAACACTAGAACTAGAATCGTTCGGGTTTAGCCGTCTTGAAAGACGTGCGGCTAAACCCGAATGTTTCTAGTTCTAGGTCTAGTGTTAGTTCTAGTTTTAAATGTTGTTTAGCGTTAGATTGTAGTATATTTTTATTGCAATAAAAAATCCGGTGTGTTAATTAATTATCGTACCCGACTTCATCATTGCAAGTATGCTACAATACCAATACTGTAACATTGGTTGAATACTTGCAATGATGACTTTGGGTACGATAATTAATTAACACACTGTAGAACTAACACAAGACATAGAACCAGAAACATTCGGGTTTAGCCGTGCGTCTCTTTAGACGGCTAAACCTGAATGATTCCAGTTTTAGGTCTTGTGTTAATTCTAGTGTTAGTGCAATAAAAATATGCAACATGTGATATCTTATGCTAACTAGCGCTACCTATCACTGTCACTAGAACTAACAGACGTAGAACTAGAATCATTCGGGTTTAGCCGTGTTGTGAGGGCTAAAAACTAATGTTTCTAGTTCTAGTTTTAAATGTATTTAGCGTTAGATAATAAAATGTATATTATTATACATAATATTGAACTACAACAACAGGTTCTTTTCTCTTGGAAAGATATATTTGATCTTAATCCTATCTATGATGATCAACCAATATTCGCGGATTCTGAACATTCCGGAATCAATTTTATGTAAACGCTTATAACTGATTCTGCTAAGTTTTGGTGTATGTCAAAAGATGTAATAATGCATATGGAACGGGTTTAGAGTTTGGAAATATTCACTGAAAAAAAAGCCGATCCAATCATACGCGAAATTTGTTTCAAAACGCAGCTTTCAATAACACCAACCTCAACGTTGTCTAAGCATTTAGGATTGATTTTGAACTTTCTGAAAACAGTTACCATATCTTAAAATGTACTGCATCTTTTCCTACCAACTTGCATAATTTTATGTGAATGCTCAAAACTGAATCTGATAAGTTTTAGTATTGGCAAAGATGTGATAATGCAAATGGAATATGTTTGGAAAGTTTCAAACGGTTTTTAAAGTATTCATGGAATCTTTTAGGTTTGCAAATCATTATACTTTTTAGTTGAAATAGGTTTTAGTGTCTCTCTTATCGGTTTCAGCAGCAATAAGTTAGCATTGGGAATTTCCTTAGAATTAACAGTATTTTTCTCTTTGCGTGTTAGTCTTTTAGTGGCTCTATTGAAATCAACTTACTTACTACAACTAATTTATTTGATTAAGATCTGTTTTAAAATATAACACTTCAGGTGTTTCTCTTTAAAATTTCATAAGAACCACTTTAGATATTAAAAAGTTTTGATTATTTATAGTTTTTTTTATTATCAACGTAAGATCCGGATTCTTCAGATAAGAGATTAAAATTCTTAAAGTCCATGTTTCCATTTCCGCTACTTCAATTTTATTACCACAAAGTCTAAAAAGCTTTGAAAATTGGGAGGATGTTCTTTTTAGTCTCTCTATGAGTGCATGAATTGTATCCGATTCCATGTGGATATCTCCTATTAAAAGGTGTTTATGTTCTATGTGTTTTATGGAACTCTTCAGCAAAAGAATCGAAAGATAGCGCATCAGATGATTTCTATTTTGTGCTCCAGACAATAATTTTTTCCACAGACTCTTTTACATTTAAATTAATGTATTTCCATTTCATTTCCACCTTGTCTGTATTATAAAAATCACACCAGAAATGCTCAGAAATGTTCAAAACTCCTTACAAAAACGATTTCTATTATGTAGTGAACAAAACGGACATTTTGAACATTTAATGCAATAGTGTTTTGTTTTCAGTGGTCTTGTTGGTCACTTTTTAAGCATGCCAGTAATATTTCTGCCAGTCCTAAGCCTAAAAAAGCTCCAAAACGGTTGACACCATAATACCTGTATAAAACTGATAGAAAATTAAATTTTACATCTAGTTATGTTAAACAGGTATATTGGTCCATTTAAAAAAATTAAGTTATCCATGATTAAAAAGTTCGAAAATTACAGATCCCTACTTAAGAACTCCGTAATATAAATACATAATTTTCTATTAGCAAAGATGTGGTCTTTTATTATTAATCCAAAACAAAAAACCAAATCTTTCTAGCTTTCACAGTTTCGGCAATATTACTAGATATTAATTCAAAAACGATACCAGTTAGACCTAAGGTATCAATAATATACAGGCTGTTCCATTTAAAATAACAAAGTTGATATCCATTTCCGGTAGAAGCGGAAGTCCGCCATTACTGAAACTAATTTTAAAATAATATGTAGTTCGATTCAACTTTTATCCGAAACATTTTTTGAAAAACTCAATCATAATTCGGCTATGGAGGCAACTTAGGTGGGACACCTGTTTATGTATATTTTTTTTGACAGAATGTTTTGTTATTTTTGGGGTAAAAAAAAACTCCCTAGATTATTTTTTTTTAATAAATTAATATATTTATCTAAATCATTTTAAAATTTGGCAAATATTTCAACGAAATAATACGTCTTTATAATACTACATAGAATGGTAACTTAATAATAGGTGAGTATCTTTCATTTAATGGATTATGATTAATATGATTACGATTATGGCACTTCTGTGAGTTAAAAATGAAAAAAATACTTAACAAAAATGGAATGAATCAATAAAATAATACTCAGTTTAATATTCGGGATTAATCAAAACATCCCTTATTGTTTGTACTAAAGGAAATTTCGTTTTGTTTCCATAAAACGGAGCGTTACAAACGTTTTTGTAATCGTCCGAGTTCAAGCAATAAATCATTGCGCCCCCAAAATTGTTATTTTTAATAAATTCGGCCTAAAAAAAAACATTTTAGTAATTCGCGCCAAAAATTAATGATATTTTTTTACTTTATAGGTTAAACTTTTCGTATCATCAAACGAAATCCATTCATACCCTGAGGTGGCGTACGGACTCTTTGAGACTTCATCAAAATTAGGTATGACTTTATTTTTGTACATAAACTCGCAAACTTGGCTGTAATCTAAAAAGCCGTTGTTACCAGTTTCACCGTAACCAATCGCTGGAGCACTTATTCCGTTATTACGTTGATTAATTAACCTAAAAATTAAATTAATCTTAAGCTGATTCTAAAACTGTCTTCAGTTTTTTTTCCATCACGTCCAGTTTTCGAGATATTCCCAAAAATGTGGAAAATCGTAAATTAAAAAATGGTTCATGTTCAGTATATTTTTTATTTTACATAGTGTATTTCTGTAGCCTATAAGGACATAAAAGTAGAGATCCAGACGAACATTTTCTACAGCTTATTTTGCTACAGCTTAAAACAACTCAACAATACCAGATTTTTGGCATTTTTCCCATTTTTTTTACAATATATACCGCGTGTTTAAAAATTGTGTTCGGATATTTTGCCCACTTATAGTTCTCATCAAGATAAACAAAAAAATCCAATTCCAGTGTTATTAGTGAATACAAATAGAGAAAATACAAACATCCCTACATTTGAAAACATGCTTGACATCTTCGTAGAAAAGAATCGCGCACTCTTTTGAAGACTCCTGGAGATTGGCGAATAGTTTCACATACGTTTTATATTCTTTGCTGGAGATCCTCCAAGTTATTAACAGGTGCTGAATATACTAATGATTTTAATGATCTAGGTGGCCAAACTATTGAAGCTCCATCTACCATTAAATTCAGTATTAAGAAAATTACGAACAATTATCGCAAAATGTGCAGGCGCGCCATCACGCATGAACCATATTTGTAACCTATCCTGGGGAGGTACATCTTCGAATAATATCGGCAAAGTGTTTCGTGGGAAGTCTAAATAAGTTTGACCAGTTAAGCGATTAGGAACAATCGGTCACCAAGTATACCAAGCGAAACATTTACAGAAATCTTATACTGGCTCCTTGATTGCACAACAACGTGAGGATTTTCATCTGCCCAAACGTGATTGTTATGAAAATTCAAAATGCCGTCTTTTGTAAAAGCAGCTTTGTCAGTGAATAAAAACTAGCATGAAATATCGGATTTTGTGCAAGTTTCTGCAACATCACTTCACAAAATACTCTTCTCGAAACGTAGTCAGGAGCGACAAGTTCGTTGAACATGGTAAGGATACAATTATTGCTAAAGTAAAATTCTCCAAACTAGATAGACAGGCATTAATGTTGACTGCGGCAGAGATCTTTCTGACACTCGTGCCTGGATTTTCTTCAAAACATCCTCTTCTAATGCAGGAGTACTCACAGATCGACCAGCATCGTGGTGAGTCGTTTTAAAAGAAGCCCCTTCCGACAAACATTGATGAAATTTTGCCAAAAATTTATCGCTAAGTAAGTTACGGTTGGGGTAAGTTTCCGAGTTAAGCGTGCCTCATAAGCGTTACCATTAGCAGCACTGTACATAAAGTGCATGTCTGCCATTTCTGCATTTGTGTATTCATTCATGCTTACATGAAATAAAAGCACCCAACTACACCAGCGAAAGTGACGTGAGATTGACAATAACTAAAGATAAAATGTGTTTAGTTTTGCATGGGTAACACGACTAAACGACTAGATATGAACTTTATTGAAAAGCAACGTAAAATCAACTATATCTCTGAAAACAAGTCATTTTAGAACTATAAGTGGGTAAAATATCCGAACACAATTTTTAAACACCCGGTATATGGTTACCAAGGTTTTTATATACCGGGAATTTCATATAATTCGCAATATATGAATGCAGTAACTATAGTTATGAAACTACTATTTCGGTTAATGTTAAACATTGACTTTTTTCCATTAATTTTACCGCTAGGTCAAAGTGCAATAGACTGCTTAAGTCTGACGTCACAGAGATGGGCGGAGCTTATAACGACTCCAAACAATTTCGTTGCTAACCACAGTTGCTAACGATAAACCGCCAAAAAAATGTCACGTTTAGTTTGTTTTATTTTAACACTAAATGAAAAATTGCATATGGCAGTTTACCGTTAGCAACGCAGTTAGCAACGAAAATGTTTGGAGTCAGTATAAGCTCCGCCCATCACTGTGACGTCAAGGCTTAGGTTGTCTATTCTGCACACAATCCTGTTGCCACCCACTTAGTACAACTTTTATTTAAACTATACCTATATTGTTTCTAAATAAAGGGGTCCTCTAAACCCATCCGTTATATTTTTAGGTATATGTTAGATGAGTTGATTCATTATGAATGGTCTTAAAACTTCTAACGAACCACCCCCCTTCAACTACCTCTTGTATGGTACTTTGACAATCTATAGATCTATTTTGTACGTTTATCCCAGCACTTCTATTTAAGCTTGTTTTCAGCTTCTCCTGTTAAAAAAGAAGCTTCTTTTCAGGGGCGGTTGCTCAAGTAATATTCATTTTCTACCCCATTACAATTTGTTTTCGGCCGTATAAAAAAATCTTCAGACATGGATTGCTCTAACATTGAAATGCTTTGTGGATTAGAGGTATTTCTCGACTTTTTTAGCAAATTTGGTTGCTCCTGGCAGAGCTCCTCTAAAGATTAGTTGATCTTGAATACTAATGTTTTGATGCCACTAAATATAGATTATACAGGGTGTCAGATAAAAAACGCCCCAAGCTGCAACTCTGTCATTTACATTCCGATTTTCATGAGCGATGTATCAAATGAAATGGTTTGATAAATACTATGCTACAAATAAACTTTTTCCAACGCCATCTTCAATTTCAAGCGATTATCAACTTTTGATTTTCAAATTGCTCGGTATGTTTTTGTTCACATTATTGGATAGATTTTTTTCTGAATCCATTAATGTACAATACATCAACATTAATTGTAATTGTAGTATAGAAAAACATTAAAATAGTTGCCGAACATTCTCTTAAAGTCACTTGTGTTATACTGTAGTGTGCCATGAGAAAAAATAATCATTTACAACTGCTTCAGGCATTGAAATATCACTTAATGACTGTATCAGTTTTGCACGTTATTAACGTTTCAATTGTTTTTCTCTGCTAAAATTAGAATTAATGTTAATGTATTGTACAGCAATGGGTTCAGAAAAAAAATCTATCCATTAACGTGAAGTAAAACATACCGAGCAATTTGAAAATCAAAAGTTGATAACCGCTTGAAATTGAATTTATTTGAAGCATGAATCATAGTATTCATCAAACCATTTCATTTGATACCTTGTTCATAAAAATCGGAAGATAAATGACAGAGTTACAGCTTGCGGCGTTCTTGTGTGACAACCTGTACATACAGGTGTGTCTTTCCTCTGCTAAAATTACATTCAAAATGGATGTATTGTACATCAATGGATTCAGAAAAACAATCTGTATCCAACGACGTGAAGAAAAATATATGGAGCAATTTGAAAAACAAAAGCTAATAATCGCTTAAAATTGAAGATGACCTTGGAAAAAAGTTATTTGTAGCATGAATCATAGTATTCATCAAACCATTTTATTTTATACCTCGCTGGAGCATTTTTATCTGATACCCTGTATTATTAGTTATGTTGTTACACATTGTATATGTATTATTTAAACTTACTTTTGACCGCTCTGTGTAAGATATTCTAATACGAGAAATGACAATCTATTTGACAGCATCTGAAGAGTAATTGTACCAATTTAGAGCTTTTTTGAATGAAAGAGCATGCTGAAATTTGCCAAAAAAAGCTTAAAATCAAAATAACTCGTAAACAAAAAACGGTACCATAATTTTTATCAAAATCAACATATTTTTTTACGTACAATTAAGCTAGACCTAGAAACATTCGGGTTTAGCCGTTTTAAGAGACGTACGGCTAAACCCAAATGTTTCTAGTTCTAGGTCTAATGTTAGATATAGTCACAGTGCAAGTTTAAAACTAGAACTAACACTATATGTAGAACTAGAATCGTTCGGGTTTAGCCGTCTTTAGAGACGTGCGGCTAAACCCAAATGATTCTACATAGTAACAGAGCTAGTGTAAAACTAGAACTAACACTAGACCTAGAAAATTTCGAGTACAGCCGACTAGAATCATTAGGGTTTAGCCCTCTTAAGAGACGTACGGCTAAACCCAAATGTTTCTAGTTCAACGTCTAATGTTAGTTTTAGTGACTGTGTAAGTGTAAAACTAGAACTAACACTATACCTAGAATCATTCGGGTTTAACCGTGTTTAGAGACGTGCGCCTCAATCCGATTGATTTGAGTTCTAGGTCTTGTGTTAGTTCTAGTGGTAGTGCTAGTGTAAAACTAGAATTAACACTAGGGAACGTTCGGGTTTAGCAGTGCGTCTTCAGACAGCTCTATTTCTCTCTGCACTGTCACTAGAACTAACATAAGGCCTTGAACTAGAAACATTCAGGTTTAGCCCTTTTAAGAGGCACACGGCTAAAAGCAATCTTTCTAGTTCTAGTTTTAGTTGTTATTCAGCGCTAGATTGTTGTATATTTTTATTAAGCTATAATATACAGGCTGCCCATTATGTATGGAATATAGTATACAGGATGAAGTAGTAAGTAGTAATGTATTAAATACGCCAAAAGGTTAAAAAAACCTATAAATTAAGGTGATTTAACGCAACTCTTATACAGGTGTCCCGAAACTCAACGTCAAGCGGGCACCGAGTGAAAGGCCAACCCATACCTGTTCTGGTAAAAATGAGAAAAAATTCCATGTCTTTTAGTTAAGTGGTAAGACATATTTTTGAAAATGTTAAAAATCGTTCCCGTACATCATATCTTTAGGTACTACGGTCAGAAATGTTCGCAATTTAATAGTAATTTTTTTAATAATGTATTCCTAATGAACCATGCTACTATAGCAATCACAAATCGAACAACAAAAGTCGTTAGTTTTGCAAAAAAAAGTATTAGTTTGATTGAGTTAAGGTTGAAAGAATTTATGTCTATTAAGTTTGACACACGATTTCTAAGCAAAGGAGTAGTACAACACCCTTGGCAAGTTATTTTAAAAGATGGCCTATTTAGTCAACATTCCAAAATGGTATAACACTTGCTATTTTTCTTTTCCTAAAAAGTATTATTGCCTGTTTTTCTGCAAAAAACGCGTTATTTAAAAAATTCTTACTTTCGTATGTTATTTGTGATGAAA